CCAGAAAAAAAAAGAAAAGAAACGGCAACCCAGTGCACTAAGGTCCCATTATACGCAGGGTCTAGGAAAGGATTGGACCACAAGAGTCTATTGTACGCAGCCTTACCCTGCATTTCTACAACAGAGGCTATTTTCACGGCTCGACCCCGTGACCTACTGGTCACATGGCAGGAACTTTGCCAATTACGCCAAGGGTCACCCTTTTCTAAAAGAAAATGTCAAATTCAAGATTTAAGCTTGAGCTAATATGCCCATTTTTGTAAGGAATTTCACAAGACTTGTACCTGAAGAAGCAGTTCCAGCAAAAATTGCCTGCATGTATTGTTTTGGTAATTTACCAGCAGAGCCATCCAAGCTTCCTCCAATTAAACCATCAGCTAAACCACATATAACAACTGATGCAACAATTACAAAATAGGCTGCATTTGATTCCACATTTGTACCATTTTGGTGCCAATTAGTCCACTCTATAATTGGAGTTACCATTAAAGAAAGAACAAACATTGAAAACCCAAGATTCAATCTCAATCTAAGGCTCAATGTTTGGCTCCATTTGGTCCAACTCAACATCAAAACAAGAATCAAGACAGAGGAAGTCATGTATGCAACAGAGAAAACCTTTTCAACATGTTTGGTTGGATAAAGATAGCCAAAATAATCAACTGCAGTAATCAAGGCATTCCAAGGCAGCAAATTGCCTGCACCTAACAAGAAATGGATTATATATGCAATTTTGTAAGTGTCCCTTGGCTCATTTTCATCCCTTATAAAAGATCCTCCCTTCTCCATTCCCTTGAGATTTTGCACCATGTTTCGATTCCACAGCTTGTGGAAAATGATCATGGTCCAGCATTTTATAAGTAGGCAACTAGCTAGACAAGTATCTAGTGACTTATCAATATGTAAGTACCTATGTTGCTCGGATACATGTATCTCGCACGAGTGTGTAGTGACGAAGCAAGAATTTTTATTAAGGGTGTCAAAATATAAATAATTAAATAAACCGGAAAAATCAAAAGAAGTCAACGTACAGTAAATATATAAAAAAAGAAACAATTTTATCTAGCAAAACCATGTAATTTTCCGGCGTGACACCCCTTAGTTGAGTGTGGATCTTCCACTGTGAGTGTGGATCTAGAGGTTGGATTCGTCATCACATAAATTTTAGGATTCGGGGATGCGAATGGACACATTTCCTGTTGAAAAATAACTAATAATTTTAACGTAATTTAACTCGGTGTTATTTAACTAATTAAGTGAATGATCAATCATTGTTGAGTCATTATATAGTCATGGTTTATTAGTTACTACTCTCTCCGGTCTATATTAAATGACTTATTGGCCTTTGGCACATCCATTAAAAAGATACTAACTCCTAGAGAAAAAAGGTATTTTGACTAAATTACTCTTAATTAAAATATGCATATTATTAACTTGACATGTTGGATATGTAAATAAGGGCAAATTTTGGAAAAATAAAGTTAGTTCCTTCTTGATTACGTAAAAGAAGACTTATTTTGGACCAAAGTAAAGAGGCCAAAAAGTCATTTATTATGGATCGGAAGGAGTACAGAACTTCATTGACCGATTTTGGAATACAACTTATATTTTTGAAGAATATGACACAAGTACGATAATATTTTTTGAGAATCCGAGCAGTATACAAAGGGAGTCCGGAACCAAAATGTAATCTTTTTGGACTCAAAATACTTAATTAGGTGAAAAAACATAGTTACCAAAATATGTAAAACGTGGTTCATTACTGCGTTTTATATAAAACGTGGTTTAATACCGTATTTTACATAAAATGCTTTTGATACCGCGTTTTACATGTTTTGTGAGCCCACCAATAACTCTTCTACGCTTAACTGACATAACAATAATTCAAAAATGTAAAATGTCCATTTAAACTGCATTTTACTTCCAAAAATTTGATTCCTCCTCCCCCCCCCCCCCCCCCCCGGGACTTGGCATTGCCTTATTTAAAGGCGTTAAGGGTTTTGAGAAAAATCATTCAGAAATACTCCAACTTCGTGATAAATTTTTCTTCTTGTTAAATTCTCAAGCTTTTTTCATAATGTCTGAAGAGCGAAAAGTAAGGGTTTTATTATATTGGAGGGGTGAGGTTGTGGTGGCGAATAACTCAGTGAGCTATAGTTTATCTCCACAGAGTCATGTTAAGTTGCCACTTACAATGGAGTACGATAGACTAGTATCGTTGTTATGCAATAAAATGAAGTTGAGCAAACGTTCGGTGAATCTTAAAATAACCGAAAGATATCCGTATTCTGTGACTCTGCAAGGGGTTGCTTGTTACGCTGAGTTTAACATCGAGGATGATGAAACTCTGAGAGTATTTTTGGGGACTCCAGATGAATACCGGGAACTTATTTTGATAAAAATATTGGGAATGTACGTGAAGGTTGAAGACATTCGCAATAATGATGTTGCGCAAAGCAGGGATAACCCTCAATCATCGGGTGGTTATTCTGGAGCAGTTTTAGCCCAATAGGTTCCGGCTGAAAGAGTTTGGCCGGATCTAAACTTATCTTCACGGGCGAACGAGGAGCGAGGAAATAATTTCTCTCCTACTTTACATAATCCACAAGACTACTGATAAACTTCAATTTTCCTTTGTGTTACGATGTTTATTTTTGTTGTACTGAATTTGTATTAACACTCATGTATTCCACAGGGGTACCATCCAGATATGAATTTTACGAGTTATGACCCCACGCCCAGTTGGAATATGCGTAGTTTTGGTGTGTTAGATCACGACGGTCCATTCGGGAGTCATCACCAATAGGATAATGTCCATCATGGAATATCAACACATTACGACTTGTAAGTGAAGTGATATAGCTATATTTAAAGTATTTATCAATTTGAGTAGCTTATTATTTTGTTGTTTATGCAGTAAAAACGAGCAACTTGATGGTCCTGACCTCACTCAGTTGCCCGTAGACGACGTATTTACTCGGGATTTGGCAGATGCGCAGAGTCAGGAAGATAATAGTGATTATAACAACAATGCCGATGAGTCTGGAGATGACACAACCTTCCATGACGAGGGTGATGATGAGGAGGAAGTGAATGTCGAACCTGAGCTGACAAGGGAGCATGCTCCACCTCCCGTTAGACCAAGAGTGTACGAGTCCCACGTGCCATTTCATTCAAGGCATATTCCCTGCCTTGATAATTTGTCAATTATGCTCGATGTGGATTCCCTCACAAGGGATCTTGACGAAATTCAGACAGCAATGTGTGATGAGTCTAGACCAACGGTGCTGGCAAAGGGCATGTTTTTTCCCGATAATTCTCGCCTAACTAGGGGTTGTAAAATGTACATCGTAAGAGAGTGTCGTGAGATGATAGTATGGGAGTCAAGTCCGGAGGTATAAAAGGTTGTTTGCCGTAGATGGTTTACGGGTTGTCACTGGATGTTGCGTGCGGCTGAGAAGGAAACAGGGTTGTGGAAAGTGGGTAAATATATTGGCACCCACAATTGTGAAATGGACACATTCAATGGGAATCACTTCAACTTGGATGTTGACTTGATTTCTCTTCAATTGATTCCACACATTGAAGTGTCCATTAGGTACAAGATCAAAGAGTGTATTACATCCATCCACCAGGAATATGGGTGTACTATTACCAAAAGAAAGGCATATCTCGGGCGCAAACGTGCATTTAAAATTATTTAAGGTGACTGGGATAAGTTATTTGCATCTCTACCCAGGTACATGGCCGCACTGAAACACTTTAACCGCGGGACTATTGTTGAATGGAAGCTTGAGCAGAGTGCAGGAATACCAGAATACATATTCAGATACGTGTTCTGGGCATTTAAACTAGCAAATGATGGTTTTGTGCATTGCCGTCCGATAATTTCCATAGATGGTACTCATGTCTATGGAAAGTATGATATTAAGCTGTTAATCACCGTTGTAGTAGATGACAATGAAAGCCAAGAGACGTGGACGCTATTTTTGAACCACTTGAAGCAGCACGTTGTCAAACAACATTCAGGTATTTGTCTAATATCTGATCGGCATGGTGGTATATTAAGTTCTGTAGAGCATTTGCCTGAATGGCAGGAACCCTATGCATACCACCGTTACTGTGTGAGGCACCTGAAGACCAATTTCCAGAAGAAATATCCCAACAAGGACTTGCATTTTAATGTGGATGGCTACAACTGATCACCAGCAGTGCAAATTCAGGAGGCGCATGGAATCGATCCGGCAGTTAGACGAAATAGCCTATAATTTGTTGATGCGACATGAGCTTCACAAGTGGACATTGCATGCTGATGGTGGAAGATGATGGGAAACTCCTGACTACAAATGTGTCGGAGTCTTTCAACGGGTTATTGAAGTCTGCACGTGGATTGCCTGTCACTGCCATGGTCCGGATGACATTCAAACAGATGGCGGAGAGGTTTGTTAAAAGGCATAGAGGTGCATCGGAATTGATGGAGAGGGGTGTTGAATTTATGCCAATACCGATGAAAAGATTTGAGAAATACAGGAGGCGAGAACTTTGGCATTCATTTTTACGGTATGAACACGACCGGGATGTTTTTGAAGTTCGCACTGCTATCCATCAACACCGGGAGAATAATATACATACCGTAAATAAAGCCAGCAGGTTGTGTTCATGTGGGAAATGGACCATCTACCACATGCCGTGCTCACATGCCATGAAGTGCTTTCAACATACAGGTTTAGGGGCAACCAACTATGTTGATAGGCAATACAGTGTTGCTTCATACTTAAACACATATAGTGGGCAGTTACAGCCAGTGGGTGCTGAGCATAATTATTGGCCGCCGGAACCATTTAAAATGCTGTGTAACAAGGACTATTTGCGCAAGCTACAACTGCAAAAGAGAACGCGTATACGGAACCAAATGGATGTTGGTGATACCGTTTATGCGCGTAAATATGGCATATGCTCGCAAACAGGACACGATTGTCATATATCTCCTTCAGCTAGTTTGGGTGGCGGTGGTAATCTTGCTCCTGGTGAAAGTTCATCTACTGTGCACAACTATCAAGGATACATGTAGTGTTTTGTTTTCGTAATGTTTTTGTAATATGAATGGGATTCCTGACGATAAGTCGAGTAACGCCGCGGTATCAGCCCATATAATCATGCTCAGTATCCAGCCGTCTAGGTGAAGGGGGGGGGGGGGGGAGGAATCAGATCAGATCGCCGGTCCCAAGTATCGATCTGCTTCTCTAGCCATGCCAAATATGCGTCGTCCACCCTGGTACGATCATCCCGCTGGTAATGTGTGGTCTGCCAGGTGGGCGGTGTCGGTACGAGCTGCGGCCTGCCAAACTGGCGAAGTACCAGCTCGGTGGCATGATACTCCACAATATCAAGGCAGATCAACGGGATGGAAGAGCCCCGCATAAGTTGTCCGGTCGAGCAATAACAGGGCAATCCAGCTATCAACGCGTCGCTGTATGGCATCCAGATGAACTATTAACTAAGAACAGAAAATGTCAGTATACGCAGCATGTGTTTGAAGCTATGACAAGTAAACTTAGATACACATTTACCTGTGCTTCTTCCAGCAAATCCAAGATATCTTTGCACAAGGAGAGATTATGCCGAGCCTCGTACTCGCGCGTATGTCCCCGCCGGAGAACCCACCTCCTAGCCAGAGGGAGCAATGGAGGTGGTACATCCGGATCTAATGGTGGTAGAGGTGGCTGCAACTGCAGGAACCGCTCCCAGGCCCAAACCTAACACAAAAAATTGACGTAAAATTTAAGATATATTTTTACTAGTTATGTTAAAATGAATAGAGT